TTATAATAACTGGTGATGTAAGAAGTAATCCAGCCGTTTTAATTCTGGAATATCTTTACATTAAATGTTTTTACTACCCACTTTGCAAACCTTCAAACTCATTGTCTTTTCCAAACGATTTCAAAAAAGGAGGGGGTCCCAATTCGACTGTATTTTTTATTTAAGTTATTTCAGAACTTTTTTCTAAATGAACCGATTTCGATGATTTGAAAGCGGCTGCTTCTCATGTGGTCCCATATAAATTTGATCAGGATCTGGCCAGTAGTTTTTGAATTATACTTAATAATGCGTATTTGAATGACTTCGACTACAGAATACCAGTGTAAAATAGCAGCTTAATATTGCTGTGTTTCGTATGATGGGTGTTTACATTCACCATATTAAATCCGAAGACCCTTTTTTACTGGAAATTAAATCTAGCCTTCAAACTCAGCACACGGGGAAGTAAAAACCAAGAATATATATTGTAACAATCAGTTATCCTTTGTTTATTTGTATATAAAAGTTAGTGAATATACGCAGTGATATTAGTGAGAACAATTGGCTAAATGAGGGGCACAAGTCATCTTCGAATTAAGCGAATGATGCGATGCTATTTACCATTATGGTTGTTACCAATGTCAGTTGAGATGTGAGTCGGAGGCTGAATCATCCTGTTACGAGATTAACCCTAATCAGTTTGATGGGGTCAATAAATCCAAGAGTTCCACTCATAATTGTGGTGAGTAATACAATTTAATGGGTACCGTTACCGGGACATTCGATAAATGGGGAATAATTAGTGTAATGTGAAACCGTCAGTATTAAATTTGCTTTTACGGTCAAGGCGCATACAGCATATACCTATATATTTTGATGTGTACAACTTTGATCTTTGTTTATATGCACGTGACCGGTTTAGTGTTATACTTCGAAAATCGAACTTCTCTTGGATGTTATGGCTGACGGATCGCATGTTTTTCTACTGTGGAAATATTTCTAATGTGAACATTGATTCGGTGTTTGACATTTGTCTTTCCTCGACTCTATTCAATAATTCAAGGGTAGAGCTTATTATGTGCATAATTTGTTATGGTCTCGAATCGATATTACATTTCGCTTTGAAAGCTATTTCACTGTTTGGATATGTTCTATGATTTACAAAAATATTTTGAACCGTATAACTACGAGGATGTCGTATCGAAAGCCGAGGTATCAATTTGGGTCATATCACGGCTAAATCATGACGTACTATGAGGATTTTCAGTATGTTATGCGATAATCGGACAGGCAGGAGTCAATTGGTATCAGTTAATTTTTCTAATTTTTAATATGCTGCAGCTATATTATTAGTATAGTTGTAGCAGGAATGGGTCGGCTCAATCGAGGAAGGACCGCGCTCTCACAGAATAACAGCGTAAAATAGTAGCTTAATGCTGCTGTTTCGAATGGTGAGTGTAGAGAACCGGAGACTCTTTTTACGGAAACGAGACATTTCATCTTAGCACTCACGGGTGACAACGCATCTGCATTTTGATTCTTGATTGGGATTGATGTAGATGTCTATAGGCCGCAGCAAACACTTAGCATCAGGTGGATTGCTCGTTTGTCACCCTTAACCTATTAAAAAATCTACCTATGTAGTTCATTGGTTCAAAATTCAGTATATTATGTCCAATTACCTAACTGGTAGGAGTCAACTGGTCCCTGTTAATAACTCTAATCAATTATAAACGCATTTTAATTCACAAGGTTGTAGTTTGATCTTAGTTTGTACCTAAATAGACCCGTTATGCGCCGTAAATATTCATGTTGACATCAGTAAGCCGAACACCACAGTCTCGCCAATACCATAGATGTTACAAAGCTCTCGAAACGTCAGAAGCATAAAGGTAGATGAATAAATTAAACGGGTTAAAATTAGTTTTATTCGATGTGATGTGTTAAAGTTACCATAACGGAATCATTAAACAAAAACCTAATGTCGCCTCTACATGTTGGCCAACACAGTGGCGAATGTAGTGGCGAATATATTGGCCGAGAGTTGGTGACGGCGTCCACACGTTGGAAGGTCGTTCAGTTTACTTCGGTTCGGGCCAATGTGCGGACGAATTTATTTTATTTTAGACGTCGGCTCCGTGGCGCAGTGGCTTGGCAATGAGTGGCTGTGCCAGGGGTCGCGGGTTTGAATCCCGCACGGAACAAGTATTTGTATATCCTACAAATAATTGTTTCGGGTCTGGATGTATGTCCTTGTGCAATTTATGTTTGTAAGTAGCCTCCGCGACACAGGAGAAAATCCAAGTGTGGGGGGTAACGTTTTTATAAAATAATTATAAAAGAATAGTGAATATTAATAGGGCTGTAAATAGATATACGATATACGATTAGCTTTATTTATTCTTTACATGCATCAGAAACTGGAATAAATACCTTTAATTAGAACTTAAGTTATTTTAAAGTTAAAGGAGTTATAATCGATTAGTCTATGTTTTAAAATTGGGTTTTGTTTTTAAAGTTTAGCAAAACATGTACTTGCTTTTCTATCAGACATTTGATGTATATAAAAAACACCTTATAATTTATTTGGTAATTTAATTATTTTTTGAGAAAGACAAAAACAATAGCAATAAATATAATTAACACTGACTTAATAATTGGACTAATTATAACTTAGAACATAAATGAAAAATTCATGACAAGGAAAGTGGCTCAGGACCATGCTTTGCGGCATTCTTTGGAGGAGGATGTTCAGTAGTGGACTTGTGAAGAGCTGTAATGATGATTGATGATTCGAAAACTTGCACTATTAAATTATAAGAAATCGTCGCTTTTTATATAGGATAGGGTGACAAACGAGCACACAGTCCACCTGATGGTAAGTGGTTGCTGTGGCCCACAGACATCTACATCTATCCTCGATTACGAGTCAAAATGCAGATGCGTTGTCACCCGTGAGGACTAAGATGAAATGCCTCGTTTCCTTTAAAAAGTGTATCTGGTTCTCTACACTCAGTATACGAGACACAGCATCATTAAGCTACTATTTTACATTGATATTCTGTGAGAGCGTGGTCCTTCCCCGGTCGAACCGACCCATTCGTGCTACAACTTTACTTCTAATATAACTGCATGGTTCTACCACGTATAAACGACGTGCTTAATTTTTTTCATTTTAAAATTATTCTCGTAATAATCTGATTGTTAATAAATGTTCATTATTTTTTTTATAAATAGCTTATCGAATAAAACAAATGTTTAATAATAATTAACTCGCGGTAATTAAAGTAGTATGAATGTTTAAAGTTGAAATTGGCACTAAAAGGTTGGTAATTGGGTCATCCACCCTACAAAGCGTGAATATAAAATTTTTATCAGATGCGTGTAATCACTCTGGGAGCTTGTAGCAAACTAAACTCGCGGCCAACGTGTGGACGCGGCGACCAAACTCTGCCAACAATCCTTTGATCTTTTGTAAAAAACCGACACCACACGGATCTCGCGCCAACTTGCGGGCCATCGTTCCAATACATACCAATGAAGCCCAAACACCCCGTCTACATGTTGGCCAATGCTATTGGCCACTACATTCGCCACTGTGTTGGCCAACGTGTAGAGTCGCCGTAACACATATCAAGCAGGAGTAAACATGGGCACGTTCCTTCCAGTATTGAATAATCTAGTTCTAATGTCAGTCAGTTTTTATGTTATTGCGTGTCAGGGAAAAGCACAGAAATATTAATAATCAGCAGTCATAATCATAACGCAACTCGGTAAAGGTTAGCGTGTTCACATTTTTTTATCCCGTCTTCCTTTAGTTATAATCCGTCTAATTATTCTATCCGCCTCGTGTTTAAACTGGTTTAAAAATAGTCTACCTAATTAAAGAAGTCCCATAGCCCCATGCCACATTCTTCGCGAATCATATATTTTCTGTCAAATTCCATACTTTACATTTCAGTTTATTTTTATTTTATTTCGAAGACCAACAGCTATCATAATTCTATTTTCGAGATGTTTGCGCTGTTAGTCTATGCGACTCTTACAGCTTCATCTGACTCAGGGCTCCTCATTCATTCGGCACATTAAACAAAAAATAATTATTAAGGTGATGTGGGCGCCAAAAGCAGATTTTTCACGCTTTAAAAGTGCAAGTTTTTGTCATTAAAAAACTACGAATTCCCATTTTTTTAAAATTCATTATTAAAGTTAAAGATTTTTCTTAGTGGGTCGATAGAAAAAGAACGCAAAATGTCTTCAAAATATACAATTTTAGGTACGTCCCACTAAGTGAAAAAGCAGTTTCATTCGAATGTAAAGAAATCAATTTCAATTAAATTCAGACTATGTGTTCACCAGTAAATATGTGAGTGAATTATGGGTATAGGTAGTATATTATATTTTATTTATCAATAAAAGAGTACATATATAATTTTAAAAAGAAATATCAGATAAATATTGTGCGATTAAATAGCGCGCGAGCCGACCAAACAGTCCATATAAAGCGTGAAAAATCTGCTTTTGACGCCCACTTCACCTTAAAATTTTTATCTGTCTGTCTGTCAGTCTATCAGTCTGTTGGTTTGCTGTGGTTAATCTCCGAAATGGCTAGACCGATTTTGACGGGGTTATCACTGGCAGATAGCTGATGTTATAAAGAGAAACTTACCCTACTTTTGTTTTAGAAAAAGAAATAGGGTTCTGCGTAATAAAAAAAAATAAAACCCTAAATTACAATACACGCGAGTGAAGTTGCGGAAACAGCTATTGTTGTAATATTTTAATTATTTATATTAAAATATTGCAACAATAGCTGTTTCCGCAACTTCGCCCGCGTTTATAAGAAAAATTCTTATACAAATATAAAATACTAAAACGTTATACTTGATACCAATAACATATTTTCGCGGGACTTTTTCATGAAACCTTGTTATTAACTTAAATCTTTGACTGACTATAAACTCTTTGTAATAAGGCGTAATATGTGTAAATAAACAGTAATGAGACGTAATGCCCTCCAGTTAAGGAGCAATGTCGCGTGCTCTTCCCTTACACGGCGGTAAACGAGGACGAGCTGACGCTGGCAGAGGGCGACGTGGTTACTATCGTGTCCAAGGACGCTCCTGACCGGGGCTGGTGGCGAGGCGAGCTCCATGGCCGCGTCGGACTCTTCCCCGACAACTTCGTGCAGTTACTACCGCCCGGTAAGCTTATTACAGCTAACTTAATTAAACTAATAAATTAATAATAAGCATTAATTTATCCCTATAAACATGTATTACATAAAACATAACTTGCTTACAGGTAAAGCATAGGAACATTATTTCTATTAAAAAAAATATTTGACAAAAGTAATGAACTTTTACATTCCATTAAATCATTTTGTTTGTTTTATATTACATTAACAATTCAAAATAATTGAATAACCTGGAGTTCTAAAATTTAATTTGATATAAATTATTATTTCCTACATTCCTTGATTTGAACATAAATTAAATTTTAATTACTTACATAATAATTTTTATGTTTACGCGAATACTACACATTGAATGAAACTAGTTTTTACGGATTTTATTATATTATATTGTATTAAATATTACGGAACTTATATAATTCCGACGTTTCGAGTACATTACATCACCCATGGTTTCGAGAGGATTGAGGTGTTCCACGTACCAGTGTGACATGTATATAATCAAAGGTCATAGTTAACCACGGCTACATCTAGTTTAAAAATTAAAATAATTTATTAAACACAATGAAATCCGTAAAAACTAGTCTTATTCAAAATTAATTACATATTTAACCGTGTAGTCGTGTTGTAAGAATATTCACTAACCCATATAGTCCCGAGGGTGTTGTAAGATGCGCCGGAGGAAACAAAACAGGAAATGAGCAGAAGCGTCTTTCTAATAATAAAAAAAGTGCTTTCCAACCCGTCTGTTAAGCGAGGCAGTTGACAAATATTTCCCCTATGAGTAGAGATACGTCATCGTCAGCATACGTCAGCGGCCGTATTTAGGAAATATTACGCTTTTTCGCTTTTTAATAAAATACAGTAGGTTTCTGTGTGGGAGCGTTGGTATCTGCGACGTCGATTGCTGGTTCACAAAACCTACGATAATAATTGATTGTTTTTGTTTGCTTGTTAATTATGTTTGTAATAAAATGTCAGACTTTCTCTATGGAAATCAGGTTATTTGTCAGGACTTTTAATTTTTCCATCTGGTAACCCTACCTATGAACCATTCTATGGTGGAGGCCTGTGTTAGTGGACTTTTAATAGCCTGTAACAGTAACCACTTTTTTCTTTACCAGACTATAGCAAGAAATATGCCTTTTGGTTTGTGGGGATATTTTTTCATACGAGAGGATGCAAGCGAGCATACGGCTCACCGGATGGTGAGTGATTACCGCCGCTCATTAACATCTGCAACACCAGGGGAATTGCAGATGCGTTGACGGCCTTTTAAAAAGGAGATTATATAGGGATATTTACATATATCATAGGGGTTTTGGTCCGATCACCATGTTTGGCATTCCCATCGCATTCGCAATACCATACGCCTCAAATTTTTGATGAGCAGTTGAAATGCTTACACGATACTGGTCTTTCTCGACCGGGTGCTTTGAATGTCTTCATTGGCATTATTACAGCCCATGACATTTCCACAGCTGAAAACAAGCTTCCACCTAGGAAAGCCATAAAGCACGGCGCTAAACCAGCTGCATCTCTTACTAAGTCACACACGCGTCTAATGGGCCTGCCCTACACTCGAAAATCTTATATATAACGGTATAGCGGGTTTTTTTTATAGGATAGGGTGACAAACGAGCAGATAGTTCACCTGATAGTAAGTGGTTGCTGTGACCCATAGACGTCTACAATCTATCTTCGATTACGAATCAAAATGCAGATGCGTTGTCACCCGTGAGGACTGATGCCCCTATTACACTACCCTGAATCGGGGCCCTGAATGAAGGGTGGGCGTGGCCCCTAATTACACTATCCTGATTTTACACCCTTACTCAGTCATAGGGATGGACAAGTGAAAAAAGTATATATATATATATATATATATATATATATATATATATATATATATATATATATAATTGAATCGATATTTTTAAAGTTATTGTAACAAATCATTTAATGTTTCGTCCTGCTAACTCTAGGTGCGTAACTCTAGTTTAGTTCGAGTTGTGTGAATTTCAACTCGAGTTAACACGAGTCATAATTTTTCCGAGTAAGCAAATCTATAGGATGCAACGTCGCTCATTTAAAACATCGAAGCTTACGTACGATATATCGATTTTTTCGATGTTTTTTTTTTCACCATTTAAATATATACAATTATATATATGGAATAAATAATCATTTTGAACAGAAATGAAACAAAGAAGTATAATAATCAGACATTATATTTATGTTACGCTATTTATTTTTACACATTTAATTTTATCGACTAATTATCAGAAAACAAGAGTTAATTAAATATTTTTTTTACTTTTACGTTTATTTCTTTCGAATTGAATTTTAAAATAATAATTTTGACAACATGGCGCCTAGTAAGCGGTTTCTCTCCTGAGTGATTGTGGATCCAGCATTAGAAAATAACCGCTCACGGGATACCGAAGGTGCCACGATAGGCATATCTTATCTATACTATGAAGCCCGAGAAATAACCCTTTCATGCCATCACCACCCTGATTCAGGCCGTAGGGACCCTGATTCAGGGTAGTGTAATAGGGGTATAAGATGGACTGCCTCGTTTCCATTAAAAAGAGTCTCCGGTTCTCTACACTCACCATACGAAACACAGCAGCATTAAACTACTATTTTACCCTGGTATTTTGTGAGAGCGTGGTCCTTCCCCGGTCGAGCCGACCCATTCGTGCTACAACTATACTACTAATATAACTGCAGCATGGCTCTACCACGTATAAAACGGTTGTCAGTTATTCGAGCTATATGGCCAAACCACAGTGACTTTCTGATCTGTTAAACAAAGTAAATTTGGTTGCTATTTCGTTAATAAGCAAGTTGATGTTCCATTTGCTTAGTGTCTCAACATCAACAATTGTCTTGATCTCTATTTCAGGGATTATTATTATCTTAAAACTTATTAAAGGCCTTTTGAATAATAATAATCATAAAAAATATTAGGTAGTAGTTAGTTAGGTTAGTATAGTCTTACGTCGGCAAGAAAAACGCTACGCTACGTTGTTACCTTTTAAGTAGGTATGCTAAGTAATTGCGAAAGTCTAATAGGGCTGACTGAAATTGAATCCCAACTATTTTCATGTCAATAGTATTTTAAATTATCAGTAATTTTTAGATTGGTTTTGGATATAAACGTGGTAGGGCCATGCTGCAGTTATGTTAGTAGTATGGTTGTAGCACGAATGGGTCGACTCGACCGGGGAAGGACCACGCTCTCACAGATTACCAAAGTAAAGTAGTAGTTTAATGCTGCTGTGTTTCGTAAGGAGAGTGTAAAGAAGCGGAGACCTTTTTTTACTGGAAACGAGACATTTCATCTTAGTCCTCAGGGATTACAACGCATCTCCATTTTGATTCGTAATCGAGGATAGATGTCTATGGGCTATAGCAGCCACTTACCATCAGGTGGACTGTGTGCTCGTTTGTCACGCTTATCCTATAAAAAAAGATTGATGTTAATTAAATTTAATAATGGTATACAAATATGCAAACAGTAAATTGCAACATACATCCACTTTATTAATTATGTATCTATAATATATATCACATGTACTATGTGGCAATAAATAATGATGTAAGCTGAGTATTAGTTGTTGTCATTTGCAAACAATCGCAATAAACAAGTACACGTTAAAATAAATGCAGTGAGTTTCAGATGATAAATACATTGAAATTACGAAAACAGTTTAAAGTGTTTATTATAACCGTTGTTTAATCTTTAAAAAATGTGGCGTAAATGTAGTTAAAGTGAGTAATTATTAAGGTGATCGGTTATACAAGGTAAAACTACAGAATATGTATTTATAAATATAATTAGTGATAAAAGTAAGTAAAGTATGATAAGTTTAAATTTATATTTCAATATCTGTGTTTTAAATCATAGCGGCACATTACGTGCACTACAAACAATAAAACTAGTACCGAATTGTTCCTGAACTATTATTTAGTAATAATTTGTTTTATATTACTGAAGTGACAAAGCTGTAGTCTTAGTCGTGGAACTTTATCCCTTCAATCCCCATAAAAATCCCATGGAGTCGCATGCGCCCGGCAAATCCCGAGAGGTCGCATGCGAGCGCACCCACCCACATCACTTAAAACCATTAAAACTTATATTTAGAGGCTACTTCTCTATGAAGAACTTGGGCGTTATAAACTCTATACAAAATTCTCTATCCTGTGGTCCTGTGTAAACAAAAGTCAGGTTTTACTTCATTACAAAAAGATTTTATTGTATTTTGATAACAAAAAAAAAAAACATACCAAGCAAATATTGGCAGCGTAAAAATCACAATTATTTCGATATATATTATTCGAAATTATTTACGTAAAAAGATAAATTGTATTCACACAAAAACTTTCATTACAATTTTATAAGAAAACAGTATACTAAAACACTAATAACACTCGAAAAGTCCAAAAATCAACACAATAACATTCATGCGAAAATGGCGTATGAAATAAACGTAGACTATAAATAAATATCTATATGATAACTAAATTTTTATTGCACTAGAAGATAGAAAATTTCATAATGATTCTATAATGCCAAACTTCTTCATAGAAAAATAGTCTCTATATATGTTTTTACGGGTTAAAATGCTGGGTGTGGGTGCGGTCTCATGAGACCGCTAGGGGATTGAGAGGTTAAACAAAGAAAGCTACAGACGCGTTGTCATCTCTGAGGATTTGGAATGCCTCAGAGCCTGTAATGAGGGCAAATAATCTTACGCTCACCAGATGTCGCTAGCTTACACTGAGGTGAAGTTTTTTGTTACACAATGTCATTGCATTGATAATTTAGTTGTAAGTAAAAGTATATTAGTTTCTAGAGTGTTACACACAAAAGAATGCGTCTGTTTGTTCTTTAATTTTTTGCATATTTTAAACATTTTTTTAAATATTTTTATTATTATAAATATCTGTGGTTTAGTTTATATAAAATATAACTAAAGTTACAGAAAAAAAACATTAACC